GGCCCCCCCCCCCCCGACGTACTCCGTACTCCTTGAGTTTAGAGAAGCGCAGTCGGCCTATAGATTTGAAAATTTCTCTTTTCTTGGGGTATTTTTTGCCGACCAGTTCCCCCCACCTTTGAAGATTAATTTGCAGCCTGGAAACTGCCATTTGCCCACGACTGTGCTTTGCCCCTGAGGGATGAAGCTTTGACTTCAATAATATATGAGATAGGAAATTTTAATTTAGTGACTGCGGAGGAGATTTAAAAATGCCCTCGCCTGACCGTTTCGATTAAAGGGAATGATGGTCTTTGTTGGTAGTTGAATTAGAATTTTCTGAAGTCTTTTGGTTGAACCGGGGTTTCCTACTCATCTTTTTATTCAGTAATGGTGTGCGTAGGAGTAACCTGTATAAAACCAGTCTTTATAAAAAACCAAAGAAGTTTGAAAAAGGAAAGAATGGTCTCCCTCGTGGTTGAGAGCTTCAGCTTTTCCAGTGTTATCTGCATAATACTCATTTGAAAGGTGGGTGGTGGTGATGGTATTTTGTATAAACTTAAATTGTAGGGGAGAACAGACTAATTTGCAGCTACCTTAAGGAGGGAACATTTCAGCAAAGTTAACTGTCTTGCAGAATTTGAGGGAAGACAAAGTGTAAAACTAGGTATTTGGGTGGAGTCATTGTTTTTGAAAACATGATTGCTTTGACTTAACTCGTTGATGTATTTAATGAGCTTGTTTGCAAGGAAATTCTAGAAAAAGAATCTGATTTGTCGTTAGATTTTGGGGTGGAGGGTTAGGAACGAGGAGTGTTGGGATATAGAAATTTTAAAGCTAGACTAAAGTGAGTCTAAGGAAGTTGCCTGCCCATTACACCTTCAGTGATGGAGAAAAGCTCCTTGTGGTTTAAATAAGAATAGTGTTAAAAAACTACTCAAGAGTTGTCTTGTTATCTATTGTCTCTCCTTCCCATTCACTTGTATATTTTATTGGTGACTGAGCACCTGATTTTTTTTCTTCTAAGATGGTATCATTCCTAAAATGAGTGAGGCTAGGAAATACTGTAGGTATTGCCAGGATTCCTTTTTTTGCTTGCTTGCTTTCTCTCACAAAGCATTGTTGGTTTTAGATCGTGTGTAACAGCATTACTATTCTCTTTGTGCTGTCAGGTAGCCAAAACCATGGACCTGACTCAGCAAGGTTAGGGTTTCTGAAAATTAAAATGTTTAAGTTAGACACTTAAAATGTTTTTTATATGGAAGCAACTCTAAAGGGATGTTTATTGCCTACTCTTTACGAGAAAAATGATAATGCTAAATGTTGTAGGACAACTATAAAGACTTGTATAAAATTTACCTAATATGTTAAATCACCTGTGAGAGGGTAACATTGTCAAGATAGGGTGCTACAGTTTCATACATTGTTATGTAATGAATTTCTTTTTTGTCTGTTACTGTCCTTGTTTGTGGAGCAGGGTAGCAGGCATCCTTTCTGGAGATTGGAGCTTAGTACATTTGAGAAATTTTAGTTTCAGGTAGTTTCTAAGGTAGATTGTGTGTGCTTATGTATAAAGAGTATTTTGACACAATTTTAGCCGTCTTCACAGTACTCCCGAAAGGTTGTCCTTTTCTTTTGCAAATGATTAGATTGAAATATGAAAAAAGAAAGATTAGGTAAGCTGTAAGATGTGATGAGTGCAGGAGGGAGCTCCAAATACTAGTTTGGTCCTTGTACCACTGCTTAAGTCATCAGTCTGCACAGTTCCCTGCAGTGTGCATTGCTTGGTGCTTTGATCCCTGCCTGGGACACTGGAGCAAGTCACATTCTTGAATTTTCAGTTTCTTTAGACCTTTGCTCTGGAATTGAGATTGCGTGAGAGTTTCCTGTTTGGGCCAGTTCCATTGTTGTATTTGTTTGAATGTAGTTTAAGGCATTTTTGGGGTCCCTTTTATTATATCAGGAACTTAAAAAAAAAGTGATTGTAAAATGAGGTCAGATTCATTTCTAATTCTGTTCTTGATTTTTTTCTTATCTTGTTTATTTCCCCTCCCCCTGTAAAAGCAGTTTGACGCCCCTCCTAGGTAGTAATTGATGTTATTAAGCAGTTTTGGGTTGCTTTGCTTTCCCTTCCCCCATTGTAAGATTGAGATAATCTTAAAAAGTTAGATTTAAATATATTTGCTCTTTTTTGGCAGTGAAAAGAGATGTTTGGCTGATTTAAGTAGCTTTCTTGAGTAAGTAATCATGGTTAAAAATCAGAAAATGTAAACAGAAAGGGAATGAAAATCACTGTATATCACCAAAGACCTTAATATTTTACTAAATATTCTTCAGATTTTGGTATATGGTGCACATTTTTTGCAAAACAGGATTGTATTTTATGTTCTGTAAACTGCTTTTCTCAGTTTACCATACTTTGAAACTTGAATATAATTTCATTCTTACTTTGAATCTAGGATTTTATGGAAGACCATGGGTTATGGAACAGAGAAAAGAACTCTTTAGAAGGTAAAATTTTTATTACATGAAGAAGAGTCTCAAACTATTAACATTTCCTTTTGTTTGAAAACTGAATAGGCCAGGTGCAAGTTGAATGATCACCCAGTTGCGGAAGTTATTTTACCTTGCTCTTTTACCTCTTTCTTCACCTAGGCCAGTTGGGAAGCTGAATAGGTTTTGGGCTTCACCCACCTCACCCAGAGCTGTGGTGTTTTTACTTAAGACTGTTTAATATGTTGACATTCCTCGTAATACATTTTTACAGTTGCGTTGGGGTGAAGAGTTACTTCCTCATAATATTACTAGCCTGTTTAAGAGATGTAGATATAGCTCCAAGAAAAAGAAAAAATAGAAATTTATAATCTATACATGTTACTTGTTTATACATACATAATTTTCTTTCCCCTTAAGGCTCCAGAAGTGGGAATTAAATACATACTTGTATGCCCCAAAAGATGACTACAAACATAGGATGTTTTGGCGAGAGATGTATTCAGTGGAGGAAGCTGGTAATCTTTTTTTTAATCCTTTAAATTCAGAGTATGTGAGGAAAACAGCTATATTTTAAATGTACAGGAATTTTATTAAATATTTCATTTTCGTTTTGTAGGTAGTTTCCTTCTATCTGGTAACTGAATTAGTGCAGATTGAAAGATTAGCACTAACAGTGCACAGCTGTCGTATGATTCATGGGTGTGCCTTTCAGACTTCACTTGTTCTATGGCCATAAATTGTACTTTTTAACTTCTTCCAGGGATCCAAGCAGTGGGCTACTGGACAAAGGGGGCTGAAACAGGGCTAGGCCTGGGGAAAGGCAAACAAGGGAGGTGCCCACCTTGGATGCGAATTTTAAGGGACTCCAAAAAAAAATCAGTAATCAAGATAAATAAAACTATTCATTGTTTAAGCTGGAATTAATGCAAGAAAGATCCATGAACAAAATACCAACATTTTAAATGAAGATAGGATCAGTAATACTAATCCTTTTGCTTCAGGCTCAAGTATGGCTTGGTCTTGATTACTGTTATTTGTCCTGTTGTTATTTAAAATAAAGCCCTCACCCTAGTCTAGGCCTGTACTATCACAAACTGTCTTGCTACATGTGTTTGTGGGTAGAGTTAGTTACATAAAATTCATAAGAAAGGTAGTATATTACAGAACCTCCTTGTAAATTAGACAAGTGGTCCTTTTCTTTGGGGACTTGAATGAATGGGCAAACATTTTCATACTTGGGTTTAAATGGTATACAGGTAGCTAACAGGATAATTGGTTACAGAGCCTAGCCAAGGCACTTGAAGGCAGAAAGTTTTCTAAAATTGTGAAGAAGCAATTAAAACGCATCCCATCTCCATCTAGTTTTACTCTTTACCACAACTTAAGTGTGTTCAACTTAATTATTTTCTGGTGATGAAATTAAATACGATCAAAAATAAAAACTAAGATGACTATTTGGAGATACCACTGAAAGTTATTTAAAGATATATCCTGTGTTATGGAATAGTATTTGATTACTTAGGAAAATTGTCTATCACATTTTACAAACTTAAAATCTGTAATGAATATTTTTCCTGTAGTTACAAAGATGAGGGGTCAGAATTGTTAAGGTTGTCACCTAAGCCTAGTTTTTAAGAACACATCTTTTCCTTCCAAATTATAAAGTAGCTGTGTAGATTTATTTAGGAATTTCAGTTGTTATAGAGATGACAACAAAAAACATACCTCTTAAGTACTATAGGAAATAAAAATGTTTTATATTCAATAAGAGAATTGATGCTTAATTGAATATTATGAGAAATGACAATTGAAGGAATAGATTGCTTTATTGATTTCAGGGTAACATTAAATCATATCAAATTTTGTATGACATATTGTCACATTGGGCATGACTATTTTGAAAAATTTAAGGGATTTTTCCCTTGACTCATTGTATATTGGAGAAAATGACTCAAGGTCATTTCTTTTAGTAAGACCTTTTAGTAAAGGTTCTTTTAGTTTCTTTCTAAAAACAGACTCTGTTCTTCAGAGCAGCTTATGACTCTCATCTCTGCTGCACGGGAATATGAGATAGAGTTCATCTATGCTATCTCACCTGGATTGGATATTACTTTTTCTAACCCCAAAGAAGTATCTACATTGAAACGCAAACTGGATCAGGTAACTTACTTTTATGTTATTTTTCCCTGACTCAGTACTTGAACTGTAAGTTTGCTGAGTTGCTTTTATGATGTTAAAAGGAAATCAAATTCATATTTTGTTTCTATACAAATATTTTACTTCTTTGAATTTTAACAGAGGGATATTTTCTAATAAGTTAAAGGTGACGTATCAGTTTCTCAGATTTCAGTCTTGAGTATTAACCAACCACAGAATGCTCAGAAGCAATGCTTAAAAGAATGCTGATAGACTCCATTCTCAGAGATTCTTAACCTAACTTGGGGTAGGGACTTAACTCAGTATCCAAGTGATTCTGAGATAAGTGGTCCAGAATCATATTTTGAGAAACTGTATACTGTTGGGTGCCTGACTGAAGTTGTTTTTGAGGTTATAGAAACAGGGTTTTACCTACTGGACTTCAGTTCCCTGTTATGTGGAGAAAAGATGAAATTCAGAATAGAAATGATTGGCTAGTTCCCAAAGATGGGAAGATAAACAGACTAGGCAAACATGTAAACTGTTGGTGAAACTGCTTGGAGTCTAAATTCTACTTAACATAAAAGCTGCACATCTTTTTTTGGTAAACTAAGTTTGCTCATTTATATATATTTCTTTAGGCAGAGGGTTTATGTTAACTGGTGGCATTAAAATGGCTGGTAGCTAAATTTCCATGAATAAGCCTTTAAGAGGTTATTTCCCTGTTTGGTCAAGTTTTTTTTGTTTTTTCTGATTCCTGACCTAAATTTATGTGCAGTGATTCGGAGCAATGTGCCTTTTGGAATTTGTACAGGTCTGGGTTTTTCATGTCTTGAGTTACCACTTTTTATTTTGTAATTTTTCTGACTGTTGGGTCTTCTATATATAATCAGCAGCCAAGAGGAAGTGGAAGGAATAGGCCACATTATGGAAGCTTTGTTGGAACTTAACAGTGCACTACATTCTAATCAAAATGAAAAATGGGGCTCCAAATTATCTAGCTGTTTAGCATAGAAAATGTAAGAAAAATGGGTTTGGCTTTGAATGTTTTATTAAAGAAAATACGACTTTTAAGTATGACTATTAAGCATGTACTTTATATTTGGAATCCTGTGTCTTTTACTTAGAGATGAGCTGGTAAAGCATCTTGTTTTTTTCTCCTAGGTTTCTCAGTTTGGGTGTAGGTCATTTGCCTTGCTTTTTGATGACATTGACCATAATATGTGTGCGGCAGACAAAGAGGTGTTCAGTTCTTTTGCTCATGCCCAGGTCTCCATCACAAATGAAATTTATCAGTACCTAGGAGAGCCGGAAACTTTCCTCTTCTGTCCCACAGGTATTGTATATAACTTCATATTTAGTCTTGAAATAAATAGCTTTCAAAGGACCATGTATGGTCTTTATTGTGTTGTCCTCTCTTAGATATAAAAAGGTAGAAGTTCTTTTTCTAGAAGACATTTTTCTGTCCCTAAATTGGAGAAATTTTAGGTACTAACAGGTGACAACCGAATAGGCAAAAGATGTTATGTATTTTTTTACTGGAAGTATATGAACATTACATATTCAGGGAGAGTATTATCAAAATGAAAACTAGAAGAAAGCAAATTTACATTACTTTTAACTTAGTCACTTCTCATTTCTTCCTACTTGTTCCTTTTTCCTCACCATGCATATCTCTGTCCTTTTTCACTCCTGCCATCCCCATCTGGGTTCTTAATTCTAGTCGTCAGCATAGAAAGCTTAGTAATTTTTCTTCCCCCACCCATCGCTTCCTCCCTGGTTCCTTCACTTGACAATGTTTTAGTCTTTTTTAGTTGACTTCAAAATTTAGTTTACAAGAAAATCTCCCCAGACTTCCATGTTCAGGAAGAGATAAACTAGTGCTAAGAAGTTTTAGACTGAATTTATTTAACTTTGGGTGTATATCTGTGTTAACGTATTGTCTTATCTCAGCGGTCTGTTACTGTATGAGTACTCATGATGTTTAATTGGTTAATTCACTGAAAATTATGTTAGTTGCAGTGCAGTACTTAACAGTCATGGCATAATGTTGCATTTTTTTTTACATCAGTTCATTTTATTTGGCCTCTGTAACTGAGAAATGTAGGCAGTTCAGAAAATGCTAAAAATTCTAGTTATTTCTTTAGTAAACTTGTATTTCTAGTGGCTATAGGACCATAAGGATTAATGTGTACTAGTACACTATTGGAAGGGAGAATATCAGGTTTTATAAATTGATTGTTTCTTTTTAATGAATTGATCTTAAATGAATTACCCACTTGAGGTGACTTCCTTTAGGACATGGCATGGAGGCCTTTTATCATTTGGATGAAAAGAGTTCTAAATTGGTAGACATTTTTTCCCCATTCAAAAGTTTATGATGGACAGCCATTTGGGTATTTTGCCTTTAAGTAAAAAGTCTTTTCCCCTTGGCTCTGTTGCCTTGCTCAATGGCTGCTTCCCAACACGGTCAGAGCTGTGGCCAGGAAAGCACCTGCTGTGGAAGAGCAGTCACTTCTTTAATGCTTCAGCTCTGGACACGTCAGAGACATGCTGTAATTTTGACAAATTTAAGAAGCAGGGGTGGCATTTCAGAAGTGGTGTGGTCTTCAGTTGAGTTACTGGTATTTTACATCAGCAAAAGGACTCGATTTTATAGGTTGCAAACAAAAACATAAGTTGTTTTCTCTGCATTTTATTCTCTTAGAATAAAAAAAGTACATGACACTGTAATTGCCTTTAATCACTCAGCAAGCCTAACCTTGACTGAAGCAATGAATGTCTATAAACATAATGAATAAAAAAGCTAGTATTTTTATGACATAAAATAGTATCATTTATAGCTTGTCAATATGTATTGTCCAGAAGAAAAGAAAAAGCCTGATGGAGGAGAGAAAAAAAAATGACCGTTTCACTCCTGACTATTTTACTTAATTTTTCTCCCTACATTCAGAGTATTGTGGCACTTTCTGTTATCCAAATGTGTCTCAGTCCCCTTATTTAAGGACTGTGGGTGAAAAACTTCTACCTGGAATTGAGGTGCTTTGGACAGGTAAGTCTTTTAAGATGATTTATACAGTAAAACTTTTTTAAGTAGGACTTAGGGAAATTGGTTGTTCTGGTAAACAGGATACTTTAAAAAAAACTGGGCCTTGATCCTGCCCAAAGCAATATACAGATTTGATGCAATCCCTATCAAATTACCAACAGCATTCTTCAATGAACTGGAACAAATAGTTCAAAAATTCATATGGAACTGTCAAAGACCCCGAATAGCCAACGCAATCCTGAGAAGGAAGAATTAAGTGGGGGGG